ATTTAACTCAAGTTACATATCGAAAACGATTTTTTTGTTAATATTATTAGTAGTGTATGATAAATTTCCATATCAGTAATCAGATACTATATTATGCATCGGTGATATTCGATATCATAATTTTAAGCGAAAATCGTTCTTTTTTGACACTTTTGGATTATATACGTCAATCACAAATTGAACATAAAACCACTTGGAAATGATGATTTTGTTAGGAATCGCGAAAACGTAATTCATTTATATTTGAAAGTGACGACATAATAACATGTACGAAACAATATCATCTGAAGGGACGAGTGGAATTATGACTCAATGTCCTTAAACGCCTAACTGCTTAGATTGATTCCGGATTTCAAATGGTAGATGCCTCATCTTACCTGCAATCATCAATGGAGTAATGTACTTTTTGTAATGTATATTTTTGTTTTTCAAACTGATTATTGATTGGTGTAATGAGTTTTTCTTTTTTGTGTACGACATTGTGCAATACATTGCTTTGTGCATATTTTTATCTTCCAAAAAAATTAATTGTGAATTTACTAATTTGGTCGGCTTAAATTCAGGTGCAAACTTGGCTTTGACCAGATACCACAATACAACAATGTTCTTCAGTGGACGCACTTAAGCACAGTCTAGTTAGATAACACAATTACTTAAATTAATGTTAGCAATATATTTGATAGCGTGTTTACAGCCTGCTCTGCGGCTTTTAAATCGTTGCTTGCTATTGGAATCAAGCTCAAGCACGAATCCAGTACACGCCCCAAACTCTCGCGCAGAATCCGGTCGTCCGACTTGCAACCCCACAGCCAATTTTCCGGCGAATTCTACTAATTTCCATTGCAAATCCTTTATTGTTTATGCTCAGCAATAAAGAAATTTTCTGCTATTTTTTTTGCTGTGAACTTGTCTCTAGTTCAGAGAAATTGTCAATTGACAATGATAAGTTAGGAAAATATTTATACGAACCGTGACAAATTGTCACATATTTTTGTGGTTATATCTTCAAAACATCGGTATTTTTATATAGTTTAAGATATTTATCAAGTGTTTTGCGTGATGTGATACCCTACAGTGCATGCATGATAAATTTTTACTACATACCGGAAGAAATATAAAACCGAATAAAGTATAAGCTATCAAGTCCACATTTCTCCCAGAACATCTGTTATGAAACGTTTTTGCAATTTCAACAATTCAAGCAACAAAAAGCTATTAAAGGCTGTATTTTATCCGTTTCAGCCAAATACCAACTATAGTTAGAATAGCAAGCAAGCTAAAGATTTTTATAGGCAACCAGCACAAACTCTAACTCAACAAAATCAAGTTCTGAATCAGACCAGAAAGCCGGGATTTGCTTTGATAAAAAGTGAAATGGTTGTAATGAACATGTAATTGTGTGGTAACTTTTGTCGGAAACCTCGATAAGCCGTTGATATGTAATGACTAAACAATACAACCTGGCTTGTTCAGCAAATGAAAGTAGCTCTACTTGGGAGACAATATCTATATAAATATTGAGAAAATCATTTTATCACATCCCACTCGTAACAGCGTCGATTGAGATACATTAAAATACGAGTTGTGATAGGTGCCCAATGAACAATCCTTTACAATACAAATGAAGTTAAAACAAGTTGTTACATTCTGCGGCACTTGTTTGGCTAAAAAGAATAATAAAATTCCATGAAATGAGTACTAAAGTTGAACACAATATTTGGACAGAATATTTGTGATTCACAAATTCCATGAACACATTCTAAGCCGATTTACGAATCAACTCAGCATGGCGTCAACCACGCAGCGCACACTTCTACGTCACTCACGTCAGTCAAAAAGTTTTTTCCCAAGAATTTTAGGACCACACACGAATGTTTTCCTAGATGTAATTTTGCATAATAATTCTTGTCATTCCGCCGTTCCAGTTCAAAAAAGGTGGGGATTGGTCATATGATAGCGAGCGCTGCAAATCGTGAAACCATCATTGTTTTTATGAGATGTTCCACGCCTTCGATACGAGCAAGGCTCTATTCTACCAAATCACGAAGCGCATATAGTTGTTGACTTGGAAGGATTGTTGGCTCGTGATACGCATAATTGAGATCTGGGGGAAGAGTTGGACACGGGCTGCTTTCTGTACTCACACAAAAAACTTCAATTTGCCCTGCTTATACTTAGGTCATTCTGTGTTGTGCAGTTGATAGAAAATTCCCGTAAATTTCAATAACAACAACCAACGGCACTCGCATTCGTTATATACTTTGTTTCATACACAATCTATCGTCACAACATTGGTTCCCTATATAATTAAAAAAAACTCTTTGTGGTATCACAAGTGCCGTCCCGAAGTACCCGAAACATGCGGAAGTCCACCGCATCCGTGAAATCGAATTGTATACTTACTTCATGCTTCCGATACAAAAAATTACTTTTTGAAAAATGTTTTAAGCAGCAATAAACCCGATTTACTGTGCTATGTAAATACCTCTGTCTCGTAGTGTGTGGTCTTTTGTAAAAGTCGAATTTCTGAATAAGTAATAATAAACAGTGTTATTTCCCAGTTTAAATCACGTGACATATTATGAAAGTGCCGTGGACATATTTTACGAGAATCCAAAATAACATTGAAACTAATAAAGATTTTTATTCTATATAAAAACAATCTAACTTGAGGTATTTAGTCTCTACGCTCTACAAAATACGATTTTTTAATAATTCGTTTTTCACGTATAAAAATAACCATTCAGCAAACAAACCAGTTTAAAATGCCGCTAATGGACATATTGACCAATTTCCAAATGTTTCGATAGTATTACACAAAAGCATATTGTTGGACTTTAAGTACGCGGAATTTCCACCGTTCCATAACTTTAAATCTAGAAAAAGGATTATTACCCCTCCTCTGCCCCTCATTTAATGTCTATGTTTTTATATAAGCATTTGCAGTTCATGGTATCGAGGGCAAATTCTTCTTAGGCAATATTATAGCTTAATCGGATTGGTGTACACAAAACACCTGTCAAACTTTGCTCGGTGTAACTGAATTTACGAAAACACAGTGTCGCATCATGTTCAATTTGATGCATCGAATGTCAACATAACTCGATTGTTCTGGGCTGCGAAAGTTCAACCGAAAAGCGTGGCGAGGATGAAACGGATTTTTTTATTTATTGTACTATAATGCAAGCTCGAATAAATTTAGTTAGTTTATTTAGAAAGCGCTGTGTTAACCTAATTTCGACGGTTCTGTGTTTCTATTTATAAATCGCGACTGGTACGACTACCTATGTACAATAATTTGTAAAACCGTATTTTCAAACCCAAAGTCTGCTGATGATTTTGTAGGGCATTCTAGTACATACATGAGCTTGAATATCCGCACAGAATAAACGTTTTTTTGTCGTTTGAATTACGGCTTAAATATAAGTCCTAAGTGATTCAAGAGTCTTGCTATATATATAATTGAACTATGTATATTTTTGAAGATGTCTGACCTAGGTCAGACGAAACGTTACAGAAATATATTTGTGTTAGTGTGCAGCAAGACTTAAATCACTTGGGATAGTTATCTTTATTCTTGCTACAGCATCCTTGCAATATATGCATACGGATCCCCCGGCACAACAGCATAAAAGAAGGATACGTAGTTAGTCTCGCAGAAACCGAATCATTAGCGCAAGCTAAATAGATGTGCTCTCGAATACTGGAATCTACAACGCAGCTTAAAAGGTGACAATGATTCGTTACCCATAGGCGATGAATGCTTATATATATATAGTTCTATTCCAAGCCTCGATGCCCATCCTTCATACTGATGTAATAATTCTGCGGTATTTTTGGTTGACGGCGATTTATGAGGAACAACGTGTAAATGACGTGGAATAATTGCGAAAATGTGATGAATTCGGGCTTGCGGGGGTCAAATTATATTGATAGCCGAGTAGTCATGAGTCTCAAATGCCCTATTGATGAATGTGGGTTGCGCAACGGAACTCGTCTCATAAAATAAAATGCCCCATCGGAACGTAAGATGTGTGAAATATTAGAATGGACATCAAGCAGGTATCTTGCCTAAATATCATTTCAAAATTGCTTTCAAATATGTGAAATCGTTATAATGGCGAAATACAAGAAACAAAAATTCTTAGAAATTCGGAATAGTTTTGCAATTTATATCGGTCGTAATTTTGCTTATTATTACGATATTTTTCGTATAAAATTTCCTGTAATTACGTGTCGTTACCACGCAAGGTATATTTATAGAATAGTTACCTATTTCTCAAAAAAATCAATTAACATTTTCTCGTCTCAGATTATTTGCTCTATTCATATTATATCATACACAAATTTTATTATTATTTTTTTGCATTTACCATACACGATCCTATACATCTTACTGTAAAAACATAAACTTCTGGGTTCAAGGCGTCAGCAGTGGCCCGGATGGATAAAAAACACAAATGTCAAAGCAAAATCTCACCGGGGCATCGGCCTCCGATGGTTTGCTTCTAAACGACGAGGATTAATTATTTGCTAATCCACAACTACATTGACAAATCTTCACCACCACCTGCAACCTCATTTGTACAATTGTGGGTGGTCCATTTCTGTTGCTTACAAAACCCAGCACTTTAGTGCTTTTAAAAATGCATAAAAGCATATAGAATGGGTCGAGAAACTAAACTATAATCGATAGCCAAGTTTGATTGCAAAAATTTCTTTATATTTTCAATACGCGCTGATAATAACGGTCTCATATTTTCCTTGTGAAGAAAATGATAATATCGAAGCAAGACTTGTCTTTTATTCAACGATGCCTATAAATTACAAAAGGCATTTTGCAATAAATCTGTGACAAGTACTTGCAAGTACTGGAACAACACTGTTTTGGATATGTATGTTGTCTTTAAATTTTTTTTCTTACATTTTCAAAAACATCTTCACGCAGATCTTTCTCAAATATCTTCACCGACGAAAGGGTAAAAAAAAATTGATTCGAACATTTTCGAAACTTTTATTCAACAATAAAAGAACATTAAAACATATGTATGAGTATTAAAAAATGAACATGTATTTTAAAAATAACTTGAAGACAGTTAATATTAACATTGATTATTATTTTGAGGCTTGAAATGAAAAATAGAATAAAAAGTGCAACATATTTACTGACTAACGTTTTTACTCTAACACACTCGAATATTGAAAAATATCGTAAAAATTCAAATTAAGAAAGTAAACGGGTTGTTTTATATAATAAGACTACACAAACTCCTTTTAAGTCTACCCATGGACAAATAAATTAGACAATCTAAATGCCGTTTGGCGTTGTATAAGCCGACTCCCTGAAACTACAAGGAATTTTAGTGGCCAGTTGTAAATGACCGTTAATTGAAGTATAGTACCCAACAAGAATGTACATGGTTTTGCCTATACGTCGGTTTTGTACAATATAAATTGTCATGCGCTTCTTGACCTTATCAGATCACCGGACCAGCCGGAACCCGGAACCCCGACTATAGCAATTTACAAAATCAATCGTTCAGTTTATCTACACCTTGATGATATGAATTCTGGGATGATTGTCAGCGATTTATAATCTATTTATTGTTATTAAATTTATCCAGTTCAACCAACCAATAATATTAAAGTTATTTTATCCCACTACTCCGTAAATAGTACTGATATAATAACAGCAAAAAATTGCAATATTATAAAATGATACTGAGAAATAAAAAAACTTGCTGCGCTTGAATTAGGAGTCTTTCGACTTTCATTAGAACGATTTAAAACATTTGTAGAATTATCGTCAAACTTTCTTGGATTTTGTGAATATATTTGCGCAGATGTTTTTTGGTCCGTCAATGTCGGATTTTTGTCAACTTTTAAATTTTGTTTTGTTGATTGATCTTGAAAGTCTTTGGTATTGTCTCCAAGGGGGATATCGCAGAGATGAACAACGTTGCTTCTGATTTGTTGACACGTTGGACCTTCGGAAGTATCACAGACGCATGTATCATAGTGTGAAGTCGCTTGACGCAATCTACGAACGCTTTCTTTACAAGAGCTGCTGCAGTGAATACCATTTATAACCTGAAATAAAGCAAATGCGAATAAGGACTTGCGTGTTTATTTAGTATTTTTATAAATATAATTTTACTTTATTGCCGTTTTCAGTCATTCAAATTGAATTAAATAATTATTCTTTTCCCCATTTTGGCATGCGGCAATTCGGAACGCAAATATATAATTGAATAAAATTAAGCATGACACAGTGACTTTCAATAACAAAGTGAACATCCAAATAAAAACATGATCAAAGCTATCAATCAAAAAAGTTGCCAAAAACCAACATCATTGCAATAAATATTTAAAATCATTTCCTTACCTGTGAACATTTTGAGAGAAAATTCTGCTGAGCTATCCTGCAAATAGAGTTTTTTTCACATCTTTGTCGAGCCTCGGTGCAACCAATGATTCCTGATGTTCTGCGAAATGTTCGAGGACGACATGTCTGAGCTGACCTTTGGTGAATGAAACATGTATTTTCCCAATCTTGGAGATATTTCTCTTGAGATATTTGGGAACCATCCGTTGAATCGATTTGATTTTTTTGAAGCACTGATCCTGAAACCTGATACGCAGACGGCATGGTTTGGGCTCGACAATCACAGTGAGCCAGAAGAGCACCATACACTGTTTCATTTAGCATCATCAAAGAATGAACGCATTTTGTTGAGCATTTGCTGCTTCGAGAAGCCATAGAAAAATATCGTAATACCGAGTATGGGTCTGTATATTTTTCCGATAGAAAGTATTGCCCCATCCAAAATACAGATTTTTGTCTCTGCGTTCTTTTCCGTCTTCTCGTCACTCTTGCTTCGCTTCTCATTTTTCGTTCTACTTCATACACATCCCTTTTCACGCTTCTCCTGCGCGAATTGTGATGGCGTTTTCTATCTGGAATTAGACGGCGACGAGTTCGTTTGGTTTCCAAAGCATCGCTAGGAAAAAATTCATCTGATTCTTCGTCTTCTGTATTTAATATTGACAAATCTTTATCAGTACACGAAGACAAGAAATTTTTGTATTTCCAATAACAATTTGTATCAGCCATACAAAGTTTATAAGCGTCTGCGCAATGCAATCGCCAGTTTAACTCTTCCGAAGAATCCTGGGGAATGAGTAACGGATACAATTTTTTAATCACCAGTTCCCTAGTTCCAGTACGTAAACTATTCCAAACTTTCCAAATAGATTCCCTCGTCACTGAAATTTTTTGATTCCGTTCATTTGTAGAACCGTACTTTCCAGTGATACTCTTTCCTTGGGTTTCTGTTACCCACGCGTCGACCGCGTCCGACCATTTTGACCCTTCCCTCACCGTCGTCGACGCTTGATTTTTCCGCAAGATTTCAAATATATCTTCGAGCTCGTTTATCGTCCGTCGATGCTCGTAATCCAACCGAGCAGACGTGGTGTGCCACGTAAATATGATAACTACTATTGACCAAAGAAACAGTCTTTGCTGGATACAATTTCCTTGATTTTTCATAGGTAATTTGCTCTTAGGTAAAAGAGTCCAAGTGTTGGTATAAAAATTCGATATCTGCATTATTAACATTACTCATTTGAAATAATGTTAGCTATAGCTGCAAACAAGTAAATTATGATATATTTCGTCGTTTGAGTAACTTCTAATTCTTCACTTATAAATCGAATACAAAATTCAGTACCAGTATGAAGCATTCCTACATAAGTTTTCTAGATCCTTACACCTATGCAACTATTCTGAAACTGCCTGGTGCATCATAAATTTCTTGCTAATATAGAGACATAGCTAAACTCATTTACGTCCTGTTATTCCCCTTTTGCGAATGGTTGGGGCGGTATTTTTTCTCTCCTGCGACAAAAGACAAAAAGAAGCATACCAAATGGGATACTCAAAACATCGCTAAATTTAACGTAATATCAGTCAAAAAATGATTCAAAAAAGTGTGTCATTCAAAAATAAAATATATCGCAAAAAAAGAGAAACGTGAAATTTGTTGAACTACAATTTTCTTATTCCCGGTATTATTTATGAACTGTATTATTGTGGCTACTCGTTCTCATCGTGAATGTATACTGCCAAAATAGTTTTTCACCTCTACTCAATTTGATCGCATATAAAAAGGATAATTGTATTTAACATACCAGGAAAAAAGACAGAAATCGGGAAAAATTTCAATTCGTGTACATGTATAGAATTCGTAATCGTAAATGTTACGAATAATCGTGGTTTTAGAAAAGACAGTTAGGCAATGGATGCCCATAGTATATATTAATTTACTAAATAAACATTAGAGATACATTTCCCATAAGCTAACCTCGGCTAACAATATTTGCTAATTTTTCATTATAATATAAGCAAAGAGTGTTCATTACAAAATGATACACTGAAAAAATAAACAAACAAGACATGAACAAAAACAAATAATTAAAATGTGAACAATGAATTATGTAAATCCTCCAACGTGACTTGATGGAATGAATGTGGTAACTTTCTAGCATTCAAGTACAACCTGCAATCCTATTAAGAGAGTAAAGTTGAGAAGTCAACTTTATTACACAATGGACAATTACTACACCTCGTCCGGATGACAGCGCAGCCGCTGCCGTTCAGTCAATATGAAAATGGCACATATTCAAGAAGAAATTTACTCGAGGCTAACGATTCTTGAAAAACAGGCAGTGGACATGAAAATCTTGAGCTATTCTGTCAAGGTATCGTACCGAGGCATCAATATTCTAATAAAAAAAAACATTCACGAGGCAGTTATAGTACAAAGTACAACCATTTTAAAACGTATATATTTATTCTCAGGAAAGTGCTGGGCACTGTACCTTCCTGTAACCTGAAGCACAACACAGTGCAAAAAATCCGATCATTTTCTTGAAACATGGATAGCAAAGTATCAGATTGGGATATCTGGAAATTTATGAATGATTTGGCTGTTTCTAGCACATAAACAAACAAACAATTAATCCATCATGTGGGGTTGGGGCTAATTGACTCAGTAGTTTTATACCTAGTATATACTTTGTCGAATTATTATATAGTATATACTTTGTCAAATATTTAGTCGATGTCTAAAACGATGAGCCAACTACATGTAAATCCAATTACAAGTAAACAACGTAATAACTACGTAATATTAGCCAAAAGTGGGTCATGAATGCGGTCGCAAAGGCATTCGAAGGCAAAAGCTTTATTTATTCATTGATATCCTGTCTAACTGCATTTTCTAGTTGCATTTCTAAATTAGTCATACGAAAAGTGAAGGGTTTGCATCTTGACTTATACGCTGTCTGAACTTAAAAGGTCTCGATGGCATAGTAAAGAATTTAGACGAGCTTTGGGTCGTATACTCAGATGCGGATTTGTTTTATCATTTCGAAATTCTCCTACGGGCTGCCGATTCATAGGTGACATAACACTCTTTATCCTTTCATTATATGTAGATTTAAACCTGTCCCCATCGGCTCGCGAGATTGGCGCTGCATAACGAGCTAGAACTAATCTCCAAAATATTTTCAAAATAACGATGGTCGACCCCGAAAATACCTCGCTGCTCATTTTGCCGAACGACAGATTACCGTATTATATATCGTTCCTATTCGTGTCTAATTCTAACTTGGGTTTGTGTTCTATTTTTATTTTGTGATTTGTCATAGATTTATATCTTCGAAAGAATTCTTATGAATGTTTGCATAAAAAAAAAAAAAATGAGAAAGCAGATATATACACCAAACATATGAAACCACCTCCATATCATCAGTTGAACTATGAAATTATCGGAGTCATAAATATAGAGACTGTTTAGAACAAAAAATCACCATCTTGAAATGCTGCAATCTAATTTTTCCTCGGTCCTTAAAGCGTTTCGATTTTTTGAGAGATCTCTGGGTGGTTACGAACAAATGTATCGTTGTGATATGATTCGCAGCCAAAAAGTTTTTGCTCCGTCATAAGAAAAAGAATGCAAAAAATGTTTTAGTAGAAATAACTTCAGAAAGGTTTAACGGAATGGTTCTTCGGATGGCTTGAAGCGAAAATTCTGTATACACAAAGGCCATCTGTTTTAAGACAAAATGGCGGATTTTTTTTTCCGAAACAATCAATTTTACTAGTGTAAACACGATTTTATTTGTCAATCCGAGAGTGTGTGAAAGAGAGAAGCGAATCTCATATTGTACCCGTTTTGGATTCGAGAAAAAGTCATTACGCCAATATGATTTTTTTGTATCATTATACCATATAAATGAAAATTCTAGAAACATTTTCTACAATTAGTTACAATTCCAATATTATAAATATACTCCATATCCGATTTATTTTATTTATTCATTTAAAATTTGAAATAAATCATGATTTTGTGAAATAATAATAAAATTTGCAAGAACAAACAGATAACAGGATTAAAAATTGTTTAATCAATTCGTACTGGCTTAGCAAGGTACGGTATCCTTTATATTGAGATAATGAAAACAAATCTAAAAACTACTCTTCATTTAGTTTTTTCTGTCTGAAACTATGAAACTCACTAAATTGCACTTGCATTGCAATCCGCTTTGTAAAAATACTTTCAATGCAAACCAAAAATATCTAAAGGTGTAAAAAGTGCTTCACAGCGTCTCTTTTTACCATCGTGTGGAGTGAAATTTCAAAAGAATCTATCATACATTCCTTCAACATTATATCAGGAACTCCCTGATCATAACACTAAACTAAATTTATTGTATTACCTCCGCCTATTAAAATATGGATATGCTGACTTGTTGGCGCATATTGATATCAACTCGAGCGGCGCGACTCGCGCGAGCGACTTATTTTAAACTAGCACATCACTCGTCCGTTCGATCGACCACACACGCAGTCGCCACCAGGTGTAGTGACGTCAAATTGCGTCCAGATTGCGGGCATAGTACCAAATATGTTGTCGCGAGATTTGTACAATATCACGTTAGATTGATAGTTGCTTTATAATCGTACATGTGATTGAAATCCTCCCATGCTTGGAATAAGATGTAAAAGGTTCATCCATGAGTTCACGGATTAGTGCGCAAATTAGATAAACAACATGTAGACATATTCGTTCCATCTCTATTTTGACAGCATGGCCCATTGCGCCCTCGGTAGCCTATAGTCTGTGGTTAATGAATATTATATCGTATGATTACGTCAGAAGATCACCAAGAATAACCCACACCCACATTTTAAGAGGTAATTGAACATTCGACATGTTATGTTCAGAAAAAAAGTGCAAGAAAAATGATGATATTGAGTGTAAGAATGAAAAACGTATTTTCAGAAATTATGCTCCTCTAGTTCCAATTTATTATTTTTTACGATAAGGAAAGCACAGATTTATTAACAGATTAATATACGGATTAATATACTAGCGAGAAAAAGTGTTTATAGCCGATAGAAAACCTCCAAGTCTTTTCGTAATGTTTGTAAATCATACATCCTGATAATACAAAAAAGTTAAGAAATTAAAGCGCACTTAATTGCAAAAAGACAACTACGACAAGACTAATTGTGTAGCGCGAGAAAATCCCGCATCGCAGTCTCAGCTACATTTAGTTAGTCAAAGCCGTGTTATTGGTATGCTTGTGGGATTTCATGCAGACGAAATATTTATTTTTGTACTCTCTTGTTAACGGAGAAACGTAATATTAATGGCAGAAGCAATTTATCTTTCACCACGGGGGGAAAGGTCATTCGTCGGCTTTCCTGGTACCAAATCGAAGGTGTTGGTAATTATATACTAAAAGTAGGGAAGGGGATGAAAAGAGCGAAATTGCAACCGAATATGCAAACCGGACAAAAAAAAGGAATCCGGAGATTTGAATGTTGGTGATTTGTCTCTTAATGGATAGAAGTTGTTTTCTCTTTCTTTTCCTGAACTTGTCAAAGTCTGACCATGTTTGGCGTTTATCAAAAGCAGGAGTTGTTTTAGTTGATATTAGTGTAGCAAATTCAATAAATGGAAATCAGAATATTTTGCATCTGTTGCTTATTATTGTGAATCTTTGTTTGACCAAGATTAGTATTTATGTAAAATGCTTGTAAATAAACTGTACATCGACAATTTCTATAAATAAATCGTATTTATGTAGAACTGTTTATGGTGGAGTCGATTGGAATATGTTTCCATACAATTTTAAATTTCGCAAAATAACTACTGCTGCAAAATTTTACTCCACTTTACCGACAGAAAATGAGAAGTTTGTCAATACAGAAATTAAATCTATACATTATTAGTTGCTGTAGTTGCAGCGCGCATCTGTCTTATCAAAAACACAATTTGAATTAAAAAAAAATTATTCCGAAAGTGTGATAAAATGTAAAAGTTTTGCAGGAAATTTAAAAGCTGGGTTTCAAGTTTCTATGTGAAAAATTTCAATTGTAAGTCCCTGCTTTTATATTTACGAACCGAAAGTCAATTACGTCAACTTGAAAACTTTCTGACACACCCTTCAAAACGATCGACAAGTCACGTCCATTTCTAGGTGTATTTTAAATAATCCCATGAGATGAAAGAAATGTCAATACAGCAGCTGATTGCTGCTTTTCTAACAAACTTGCAGTCGACC